ATCAAGATTCCAACTTAGTTCTCCATCCCCCCAGTGGCTGGCTTGGAACCGACGGACTCAACGCCTTGACCGGACCGGACCGGACCGAACTTTACCATCCCTAGTGTTGAGTAGAGTTCTTCGTAAGGAGAGTGATCAGTGGGTAGAAGACGAAAAAAAAGGCTAAATAATCATTATTTTTAACGATCATACTGTACGAATGTAAAAGAATATTTTTTATTATACGAGCATTAGCACCGGAAAATAAAGTTATCATTAGTTTGCCTCAAATTTTAATATGTATGCAATAACATTGATTAGTAACTAATCATATGATCTTTTTTTCTCGTACAAATTCTGTTGGAAAACCGATTATGAGTTATTATTAACCATGCGTTAGTATAGAATAGATAGGCAAACGAAAATCATCTGCAGACATCGGAAAAAAAAATAAAAAGATTATATGCCGGTTTCGTATACATAATAGCGTTTGCTTTGTGCATAGATATCAATGTGTATTAACCACAGATCGAACACATGAAATGCACAGAAAGATATCGGGAAAATTCTTACCGAAGAATGGGGGCTGTGCTATGCTACTTCGTAATTCGTCAATTAGAAATTACTTGACGAATGGTTTTGTCATTCATTAATGACGAATGATTCGTCATCGTCAGGTATCATTAGTCACTACCAATTCTAAAGATTGTAAGGGAATCTTAAATGTATTCCCTTCAAGAAATTTCATTTATAATGTCACCATTGCAAGCATGAATTTTGTAAAAATGTTTATTTAACAGTAGGCTTTATTTATGTACAACAAAAATTCATATGGTACTTTTTAATTCTAAATGTTATTCCTCTGGTGATGATGCCTTTCCCATTCGCCACTTAGTGCTTCTTCGATGATCATACATTAGCAAGCCCGCTTTTGACATGGTAATTGTCCATGTTTTGCCAGCGTTTGTCACCCTTAGGCGGAAGGCCAATCCACTTAAGTTTTACATTTGGACCGAATACCAAACAATGGGTTGAGCCACCAAAATGGAACGTGCCCAGCGGGTCACCTTTTTTGACACACTGTTTCTCTTTGACATACACTTCGCAAGAGGAAACTTCGGCCATCCCGATCGCGATGAAGCACATAAGGCCGATATTAGCGTTATCGGCCTGGATGAATACCAGCGCTCGAGTCGCCAAAGAGGCTATGTAAGGCTGTGAGTTGTTCGGAGCGGCCTCGTCGGGTTTCCCGCCAAAGAAGCCTTGAAACATATTCTCCGAGTAGTATGTTCCCGGCACATGAGTGATTTTGACGATGGTACCATCGACAGGGCAAACCCATTTGTGGTAGCTGAGAGCTGAGAGGAAGGCTTGGTATACTGTACCACCAACGAACTGCTCAGCGAAGGGGTCATTATCAAGCATGTTTTGGAGAGAATAGGCCTGATTCTTGCCCATGAAATTATCTGTGAGCTGGACATTGCTAACCGGGTACTGAAGCGGGGCAGATTCGCAAGCGTGGACGATATCCGCTTTAGTGTCAAGGGGTCGCACATTGTCCTGAAATTCGCGGGTAAAGAAAGCGTCCCACGACTCGAAGCCGAAAGTGTTCGGGTCGTCTGGATTAGGACAAACGTAAAGTTGCGTGAAAGTATGTGTCTCAGCTGGAGAAAGTCCGTCCTGGTTGCCCTTCGCGGTCAAGGCGTTGAGTCCGTCGGTTCCAAGCCAGCCACTGGGGGGATGGAGAACTAAGTTGGAATCTTGATGGACGTCCTGAAGGTACTTGCACCATTTAGTCAGAATACCTTTGAGACAGTCGTTGACTTTAGGTTCCAAGAAAAATGCGAAGCCAGAAGCAGTTGCCATTGGCCAGTCAAGTATAGCATTGATTGGAAAGCCGATAAGACCGCTAATTTCGGCCGCGTCCGACCAGGGAGGTGCAGTCGTCAGGATCGTATCGATGGCTAAGAGCATGTCATCGAAGCATTTCAATTCAGCCTGGCCGTCGGGATCAGTGTTATAGGGGGAAACGTTCGGTACTTCGTTGAACATGGAAATCGAAAGCGCGTTCAAGTACCTATCGCAAGTTACGACCTTTTTGAAGGCCTGCAAAAGAGGGTCAATGTTGTTAATATCTTTCTTTCGAGCCTTCTCCATGAGCTTATTGACCCATTTCGTAATGTGACTACGATCTTTGGGTAGCCAGAATCCAACACGGTGCTCGGGTAAATTTTTCAAGTCAAACTGCATGGTGCAAAGGTGATAATGTAGAGAATTACTCATTTATATATATGAAATCATATGATCGACAAATAAGAAAGATGTACGGCTGAAGCGCTAAGGTGCATAATACATAATTTTATCGTATTGTCTATTTCATGACTAGAGGAGGGCAAAATGGTATTTCCCCCTACCATGCATGCGCATGGTATGCTGCATGCATGTTATATGCGTCACCAAAATGACCTTCTCGATGAGACGATTCCAACGAGTCTAAAATCATTAAAATTCAATTACGGGATCTCGAGATCGATAAGGTTTTGTTATTTCGAATGTTTAAAATTGGTTTAACTAAATTTTAAATATTTAAAATAACACAAATGGTGATTGTATGTTGATGATTTTGAATTTTCTTATCGAGACGGCCATTTTGGTGGTAAAATAATTAAAAACGGACTAGTGAATCAAAAGTTTATTATCAAATATTTTATTTTATTTGGGCATATCAGCTTAGACCATGCGCATGCATCTCTATTCATGACTAGAGATGTGCCGTATGCATTATGCAGGCGATGTTGCATGCTGCATAATGCTGCATAATGCGATGCAAGTTGCCTAAAATTTAAAAATGCACATAGAAGTTATTATGTAATTTTGATCCATGTCATTTCA